ACTCCTGCTCGCCCATACGAATGTGAGTCATCTTCTCCTCCAGCTGTCCGATGTACAGGTCGTCCCTGGCCAGGTACGTCGACATGATGAAGTGCCATGCCTGGTGACCAGCATCCAGTCGCTCTCGACAGCTCCTGAGCGCTAGCTGAAAGAATGTGATATTTGTCTAGCCTGCAGTAGGGTACTCTATAGCGAGTATAGCCCAAATTAGGGTTCCTATATGTACTCAACCGTCTGCTAGTGCAAAACCCTCTTCTCTGTTTCATTCTTCATTCCTACTTTCTGACACTAGCTGCACCACCGGCGAGCAGCACCTCGAGATGACCATGAAGGTGAGCAAGTGAGCCGCACGAAACTCCCCGCGCAGCTCGACATCGTCCACGGGCGGAATTGGCACTGTGCCGTCGGCGAAGCCTTTCAACCCGGCGACCTCCAGCTGAGGTTCGATCGACTCCCTCCAGGTGATGAGGTCCCGTCGACCTTGCAGCGGTGCGACGGTGATCCGGTCCGGAGAGAATTTGAAGTAGCCATACGCCGGTGCAATCCCGCCTGCAGTCACATGCGTCGTCGCCGAGAGCCCTCCACCACTTCGTAGAGGAGAGCGACGTCGAACATCGACGTCGGCGCGCGAACTGCCTGCAGCCGCCGTCGACCGCTGCACTCGCGTCTGGATTCCGTCGACACCACCGTCGACCTTGATCACCCTTCTCTGCCTCGTGCCTTCGCTGCCGCTGACTCATGCACCACCGTCGACCTCGTCGTCGACGCCACCTTTGTTGCGCACCGGTCGAGGAGAAGCAGGACGGGAAGGGTGTTCCGTCGCCCACTGCGACCGGATGCCCAGCTCGGCGATCACCAAAGGGATCGTCCCGTACTCGCCATCCGCGTGGCGTCTCCTCGCGTCAGCCAAACGTGCCTCCAAGGTGTCCGCTACGCCCGCATCAACCACGGGGTCGACCATGGCGACTAACGCTGCTGCCGGCCTACGAACGACTTAGTAGGTGCAAAAGTCTGCTCCTATCTGAAGGTATTTGCGGGGCCGTCCACGCTCATCGCACCATGCGGAGAGTCACTCTAGAACGGTAGCGAGCTAGACTACGGGGGTTGGCACGAACTACTAGAGGTGATCGTAGGTTTGCTTAGTTCCTTAGTGCTTGCGCATTCGCGGGAGAAATCGGCAAGAGTTTCCACTAGGCAAAGTCAGAATTACAGAATGATAGAACAAGAAAATGACAGAATGACTACATCAGGCACCTAGCAACCCTGCAGCTAGCCTGGTCGACCGCCAGCACAGCTTGGTCGACCGCCTGCCAGCGTTGCGTAGAGGAGCCGTGCCAGCACTGCGGAAAGGCGACCTGCCAACAGAGCAGGTCGACGGCGTGCCAACGCTGCAGCAGAGGGGCTGTCCAGCGTTGCCCTGTAGAACACAGCAGTGCGCACGCTCGCAGGTGCGCGCAGCGATTGGCCCGACTTGCCTTGTTGGGCATCCGTTGGCTATTGTCTGCGCCTGACGAGCCACATCGACTTCGGGATACCAGCCCGCAGTCGCCTTCGCCATCGCGACCTCGAGGACGTTCGCGTGCCTCCGCAGAACTCGTCGAGCAGGTTACCCGGTCGACCTGGTCGACCACCAGGTGCTTCCGGTCGACCACCACTGCCTCTGGTCGACCACCAGGTCCCTCTGGTCGACCACCAGGTGCCCCTGGTCGACCACAACTCCCGTCGAGCTACCCCCTGGTCGACGGACCCCTTCCGTCGACCAGAACAGCCAGCGGTTGTCGCCGAGCTCCCCTCGTCGACCGCTGCTCACTTGTCAGGTCGACGGACTGCTCCGTCGACCTCCCGGTCGAGCTGCAGGTCGACAGACTGCTCCCGGTCGAGCTGTAGGTCGACAGACTGATCAGTTGACCTCCTGGTCGAACTGCCCCTCCTGGTCGATGGCCCACCCATCGCCCAGACCAGTCAAAAGCAGCTGTCGAGCTCCCTGGTCGACAGCAACCCCACAACGGTCCCCAGCAGCTCGACAACGCCTGTCGAGCAGCTCTCCCACTGTGAACGGTCGGCTGCTACTCCCGTGCATCCGACCAAGTCGTCGGCGTTGCCCAAGTGAGGGCGTGGCCAACATTCCATTCCTGTTAACAGTGAGGACGCTGAGAGTTGCCATAGCGGGCAGGGCAGGCGAGTGCGGTAGCAGCAGGACAGCACGCAAGCAGGGCAGGGCAGGGCGGCAGCCAGCAGGGCGGCTCACAGGCAGGGTAGCGCAGCTGCTAGCAGCGCATGGGCAGGGCAGGGCGCGCGGCTGCTGGCGACGCGCTGGCAGGGCAAGGCACGCGGCGGCGGGAGACGCGCCGGCAGGGCAGGGCGCTCAGCGGCGGGCGGCTCGCGAGCAAGGCAGGGCACACGGCGGCGAGCGGCGCGCTGTCAAGGCAGGGCACGCGGCGGCGAGAGGCGCGCGGGCAGGGCAGGGCACGCGGCGGCGAGCGGCGCGCGGGTAGGGCAGCGCGCCCGGCGGCGATCAGCGCGCGGGCAGAGCGGCGCGGCGCGGCGCGGCGGCGAGCAGCGCGCGGGCAGGGCACGCGGCGCGGTAGCGAGCGGCGCGCGGGCAGGGCAGGGCGTGCGGCGGCGAGCAGCGCGCGGGCAGGGCAAGGCGCACAGCAGCGAGCAGCGCGCGGGCAGAGCAGAGCAGGGCGTGCCCGGCAGCGCAATGCAGGGCAGGGCAGGGCGGCGCGGCACTAACAGGCGCGACTCTTGGGGTAGCGCGGTTCGATGGGCCCTAAAAAAATCCGGTCCTAGGCTATGACCTGCTCTGAAACCATGTCAGGAGAATGAACGAGGAATGTGTGAACTAGCAGCATGTAGGAGTACAAGTAGTAAACCCTAATTGGGTTGTACCCCATATGGGCTACCCCACTACAGCCTACACAACATGCAGCATATATAGTTTGACACTTCAACCTTATACTTCAACCGGCAGACGCGAACGCTGGGTGAACGGCGGTTTTGCGATATTGTTGGGGAGTCGAAAACCCACAAAAAAAAAGGGGGGCTCCAACCTTAGACTGCAACCGGCAGACGCGGACGCTGGATGAATGGTGGTGCGCGATATTGTCGGGGAGTGGAAAATACAAAAACGTATGGGAGCAGCTGAAGCTTCGGATTTACCTGCTGGCGACGAGCGATGGGTGAAAAATCTGCAACGCGCCAGTGGGAGCTGCGTGGTACTTTGTTAAAACATCATCGGCGGGAGCAGCTTCGACGACGTAGTCTACAGCGTTGATGCCAGTAGGTTCTGTGGTCTCGGAATAACCCAAGGACAGTCCCTGGTTCTCGATTGAACCCACATGCTAGTGTCGGGTAACCGACGGAAACTAATGGTGACCGAGTGGGCAGCTATAGTACGTCCGAGTTTTTCGGAGGAGAACTGCACATGCAACCGCGGATTTTACGGGGTTGTTTTCGACCAACCATTACGGAGTTTTACGCGGGACTTATCGGTTTTACGGCGAAGAGCGCCGACATTTTCGTGGGATTTCTCGGCATTTGGTTAAACGCGTGCGACATCAACGTTCGAGCAACATCGAGGGAACTACACAGGATTTTCAAGGGGTACGAACGACTTACGACGAACTGAAGAAGGCGGTAGCAACAGTGCAAGGGGGGGAGAGATAGCTGCAATCTTTCATCTCTGCCCAGGAGCCCTCGGCAAATTGCGACAAAAAGCTCGGCGAGTCTGCACAAACCCGCCGGAGGAGCTGACGTCATCTGACTCGGATAATGAGTCCGACATTTTTGACCGGGGTGACACTCGACTCGGTTACTGCTTCGACAACCTTCACCAAGTAACGTACACTAATTCGCCGCCTATCGCCTTCGTTCGCCACCTTCGCCGACAATCGTAACAATCCTGACTTCACGGCCAGAGGATTTCAGAACGCGACCCCCCCAACTCTACTAGCGACAACTCGCCAACTCGACCCGCCCATGACAAACGATTATACATTCGCCACGTCAAATGCTGCCAGCTGCTACTGCTGGAGATATCGCCTGATTCTGGCGATGTGAAGACAAAAAAACGTTCAGTTCGGGTACTCAAAACTTTCCGGTTCGGTTTCTGGGCTACATCTGCTGGTTCGCCCTCGAAGATTTTTGGGGCACGTAATACCTGGTTTTCGCCATCGATTTTTCACACCGACACGTTTTCACCTAGACTTCTTCGCTCAACGCTCATTTTCAGTGGGACTTAATGTTGAGTGCAATACGTTGTTTGCACGACAACCTACCGCCTATTCGCCGACGTTGAAGGAAAGTGGGGTGTTTTGTTTTGAGGTAATTTGTATCGTGTGGAATGCGCATTTGTGTGCTTTTCATTTTGGCGTTTACGGTTTGTGAATCGCCTTAGCGGTTCATGAGTTATGTGCATTTTAGTGTGCGGTTGCATTCATGAGTTTTCATGACTGTTCTCGTGTGTTTCGTATGTGCATGCGAGGAGTTCCAAGTTTTCATGTGTGTTCGTGTTGTTTCATGATTGTGCGTGAAGTTTCGAGTGTTCATGGTCATTCGCGGGGCGTTCATGAGTGTTCATGTTCGTTCATGACTGTTTATGTTCCGTTCATGTTTGTTCATGTTTTCTGTCATGAGTTTTCATTTGTGTTCATGAGAGAGAGAGAGAGAGAGAGAGAGAGAGAGAGAGAGAGAGAGAGAGAGAGAGAGAGAGAGAGGACTCTAGCCTCTGCCCTCTGCCCTCAGCCCTCTGCCCTTGGCTTTCTAGCTATATAAGGGGCCTTCTTGGCCTCTCTTCTTCATTGTGTGGCGGCAGTAATTTTTTCGCTCGCGTCGGCCGCCGAAGGCGGCCGACGCTCGGCAGCGCGGCCTTCGGCCGCGCGTGAGGGGTGGCAAGGGATCACACACGCGAGTTACTATAAGCACCGTCATACACGCAATGGCAGCATCAACACCGGCCTAAGCAACATTGGTAACAATGGGGCAAGAGGAGCCCGCGTCTACATGCGGTGAGCTCCAAGGGCGTGAAGAACGCCCGTCAGGGAGCGCCACAGCTCCCGGACCACAAGCGTGCTTGCGCCGATCGCCGCGGCTCCAGATCCTGCGCGCAAGTGCCGCCTCAAGCCCCGGACAGCCTCGTCAAGCTGCCCCGCGGCAGCAACGCCACCCTCCGCGGGCGCAGCCAGCACGGGCGCCAGGAGCACCGCGAGCTGGTCTGCCGCGTCCAGGCAAGTGTCACGCCGCTGTCTCAGGAGGGATTACGGGGAGAGACGAATGAGCAACCACCTGAATTAGCAGCAGCGCGTGAAGACTCTCAGCGAGGCGATGGAGTTGGCCGAGTGTCGCCTCCGGAACACGAGTCTGCGGAGGCTGAAGCGCCTCCACCAGGAACTGGAGCGGCTGATTTTCATCAGCGGGATGTGAGTACTGCCACGCCAACGCGCCGCCACCAGCGGCCACAAATTCCACCCCCGCAACAGGCGGAACCGGCGGCAAGACGCGCTCCAGGGGCGGGCGCCAACGCAGCGGGAGCAGGAGCCGTTGGGATGTGAACCTGAGGAGGGGGTGCAGCGACAGGCGGTGGACTCAAGGGAAGCATAGGCTGGCGGGGAGGCACGCATCGAACTGCTCTGGCTATGCGACGCCCTCTCCTCGCGTACCGCCCTCGACACTTCCCGCTGAAGATCTGCCATCGTCACCGGCGGGCGGTACCCCCCACCACCACCGCGCCCGCGGGGACCCCTCCAGTCCCCCTGACCACCGAGGTGAGCAGGCCAGTGAGACGGTTGCTGGTAACGCCGTGGAGAATCACGACGGCGACGAGACGACTTGCGATCCTGGTGGGGCGTGGGGGAATGAGGGCGAGACGGGCGGCGGTCAGGTGACGGGAGGCGTGACGGCTGACCTGCCGAGGCCACCGGCGCCACAGCAGGCGCGGATTGCCCCGCTGCTGAGGGCGCAACCGACGGAGCCGGGCCGCTAGTGGTGGCGGACGCCGCCTTCGGCGACGAAACAGAAGCCGGAACAGGCGCGTCGGGGACAGAAGCAGGCGGTGCAACGGGTGCGCCAGGGACAAGAACCGGGGGATCAGCAACACCCCCAGCAGGAGCAGGCACCGACGGCTCGACGAAGAGAGCCAGGGGAACAGGAGCAGCCGGCGGAGCGGACGGAGCAGCAGCAGGAACAGACGGGCCAGCCCCCGACACGGCAAGGGGATCCGCGGGTGCGTGGGGAAGAGTCCTTTCAGCGAGTGTTGTCGCGGGTGTCGGAGCCGGCGGTACAGGGGGCTTCGACGGCATGGTCGCCTTTCCGGGCCCAGCCTGAGGCTGGGCGACCACAGCCGACCAGGCGGCAGCGCGCTCTGGCGATGGCCCAGATGAACCAGCAATCACCATCTGGAGAGCGGGGAGGTCGCGAGGCCAGGAGGCAGGTTACGAGCGGGACAGGCGGAGGTCCGGAAAACGGGTATCAAGCGGCGGCGCGAATGGCTTTAACAGCTCTGGATGCAACTAATGAGGCTGACGAGTCAAGGGACCCATCTTATAGGGAAGAATCCCTCCCTCCAAGCGAAGACGAGGGGATCGAGGACGAAGGCAGTACGAGGGAGGCAGTGGGAAGAGGAGTAGCGGGGGTAGGGCACTCGGCCACGCAAGCAGCACAGGCGGATCAGCGACCGTCCGATGTCGATCGAACGGGTGAAATTCCAACACCAATCCTACCAGTGCGGACGGGCCGCGCTCCACGAAATCGGACCGCCACTATCAATGTCGGGACACGCCAAACCACTCCGACGAACTGGCGAAGCGAGCAGACCTGTTCGCAACCATCGCGAGCTGGGACATCGCAGGACTCTGCGACAGTCGTCAGCCTTCGCTTTCACGCCGTTTACCGCCGAATCTGTGCCAACCGTTCTCGCTGGCGCTACTGACACCGTTACTTCACCTATCGCGAAACCCCAAATCCGAAGCGGGTTGGCGCCAGACCTCGCCACAACGACCGAATTGGCCGGGGGTCAAAGCCCGGCTCCGAGCCTTTCAGCGCGGCGAATGGGGGCAGCTGTACCAGGACGCGGTCGACGCGGTCAACACACCCCCACCGCCACGACACCAGCCTGACACGACCGGAGTCATCAGCCGGGCCGAGGGCCTAGCGAAACGTGGCAGCCTACGCCGGGCCGTGCTGGCCCTGGAGTCAACACCCGTCTGCACCCCGAGCCCAGAAATTTTGGAAGAGCTGCGTCAAAAGCACCCGCCAGCAGTACCCGAAGCAGTGACCTGGCCCGAGCCACCCGAGTCAAAACTGTCCATCACCCATGCTGAATTCGCCAAGATTCTAGGAAGATGCGAGAACGGGGTGGGGGCCGGACCTTCGGGTACGACATTTGAGCACCTACGCGACGCGGCGATCACCAACGGAATGGTCAGCACCCATCTGCACGCCTTGGTCAATACCATGCTCAGAGGAAATTTGCCAGGCCCGGTCGCAAAAATTCTGACTGCGTCACGGCTCATAGCTCTGGCCAAACCTGGGGGAGGAGCCCGGCCAATCGCGATAGGCAAATGTTTGACAAGGCTGACAGCCAAGGCAGCCCTGATAGCCATGGGTGAAGCTGCCCGCGAACATTTCCTGCCAATTCAGTACGGCGTGGCAGTGCCAGGTGGAGCAGAGGCGGTAATCCACGCAGCCAGGGCATTCTTGGATGCCCGTCCCGACAGCCTGGTCCTCCAAGCCGATATTTCGAATGCATTCAACAGCATTTCGCGACATGCCATCGCTACTGCGTTACAGGAGCCCGGACTCTCGCCACTGCAGCCATTTGTAAAACTGACCTACGGTAACCCCTCGCAGCTGCTCCTGGACGCCGATTTCAACTGCAAACCGCTGCAAAGTGAACGGGGCGTTCGGCAGGGAGACCCTCTAGGCCCGTTACTGTTCGCAGCGGGAATACACCCCACGCTCTGTGAGATTGCAGAGGCACACCCCAACGTGCTCTGCTTGGCGTATGCGGACGATGTCACCTTCCTGGGTGACACTTTGTGCACTGTAGCAGCTTTCACAGATTTCATAGCCAAGCTGGCACGTCTGGGCCTGACGCATAATCCGCAGAAATGTGCGGCCTGGAGCTCGATCACAGTCACACAAGCACAACTCCCACCCGGGGTGCCGGTTTCAAAGGACGGAGTACGGCTTCTGGGTAGCTACGTGGGGACGGACGCCAGAGCAGCTAAGTTCCTATCCGAACAGCTAGCCGAGATGACAAAGCCGCTGCCACTTATAGAACGTGCTGACCCCCAAGTAGCCGCTCTGCTCCTCACGCGATGCATTTCTAGACGAGTAGCCTACCTCATTAGAACGACACCGCTCCACCTACTCCCCCGCGACACCTGGAGCCAGTGGGGTCAGGACCTGCTCACTACCTTACTCACCTCCTGCGACATCCGCATGCCAACATGCCGCACCGAGCAAGCGCGTGTGTGGGAGCAGGCGTCGCTGCCCACGTCGCTGGGTGGCATCGGCATAACAGACCCGCTCATAGAAGGGGTCTACGGTTTCACAGCGAGTTTCACTCAAGCGGCGCTATTCCTGTCCTCCCTGGCGCTAGAACCGGAGAATGCTTTGACAATCGCTCAGAACCACATGCTGCTGCCAAGAGACGACAGCACGCCGATGCATTCATGGCTCAAGGAGTGCGAAGCGGCCCTGCCACTAGACGCGCGCGAGATCCTGGAGAAGGAGCGGCTGGAGCGATCGGATATTAGGCTACAACATGTGCTCGGGCTAAAGGTGCACGGAAGCAGATACGCCGTTCAGGTCCGGGCAACCAGGCGCATGCGGCTGAACCCACTCTCAGGCCACACGCAGCGTATGTTCTCGCTGACTGGATATGGCACCGGCGATTGGCTGACCGCGATCCCCATTGAACCCACGAGACGGATAGGCCCCGTACACTTCGCCAACGCCGTTCGATTCCGCCTGGCCCTCCCCTTTTCAACCCCTAAGAACTGCGACTGCGCGGACAAGACCGCCATCACTGATCCCCGCCTGTCGAACCATCTCCTCCGCTGCGGCATGGGCAAACACCGCATCAACACCCACAACGAGCTACGGGATGCGTGCATTAGCATGGCGCAGTACGCAGGTTTCATTGTTCACGGCGAGTCGGCCGTCCATTGCCCTATCGAGGAACAAACCGCCGACTTCACCTTGACAGAAAGAAGCAGTGGGGCGGTTTATGTCTGTGATGTCACCATCACAGACCCCATAAGCACGAGGGACCCAGAGGCGCAGAAAGGCAGGGGATGGGCGGCACGGGAACAAGCGGATAAGAAGATCAAGCATTACACCAACCGGCCAGAGACGGTTGGCTTTTTCCCATTAGCAGTCGACACCTATGGCTGCCCATGCGCGGAAGTACCAACCTTCCTGAAACTACTAGCGGACACAGCGGCTCGGCGCCATTTCAATGCCGACTCTAAATCCTTTTATGCCGCCAAATTCCTGCACCAGTTTCGGCAGCGATGGTCAGTGGCACTTCAGAGGGCCCAGTCAGTGGGCCTTCTACTCAAGTTGGGTGAGGCGGCAGCAGCAGAGAACCCGCCTTTAGGGGGGATCGGTCAAGAGTTGCACCTAGGGGACTGTTTCGCGGTGGTAGAGCCCTTTTTGGAGCTCTAGGTGAATAGTGAGTAGGTATGACTGCCTTGTTTGCTACGTCCATACCCTGCATGTTTGTACTTTGCTGCTATATCAATACAAGGACCATTAGAGAGAGAGAGAGAGAGACACTTGTGCTGTGATTGTTAGTTTCTGTACTTGTTTGCCTCTAAATCCTAGCTATAGTTTGCATGAATGTACCCTTTGGTTATATCAATACACGAAAACAAGGCCATGATTGCCTTGTGTAAGGAGCACAGACTGGAGCACAGGACGAAGCACATCGCTCTGCGTTACTTCCTTGCTCGAGAGTTGCAGCAGCGTGGACAGCTTCGTCTTGCTTCCGTGGCCTCTCGAGCCAACACTGCTGATATCTTCACCAAGGCACTTCAGCCTTATGATCATCAGCGTTTTGGTACTGTTCTAGGCCTTGTGCCTACTTGGCCTCACTTGCTCACTTCTTGACTTTGCTTGTACGGTGATCTATATACTTATACCTGCATGCTTACTCTTGCTAGGTTTTGATCATTGTGTTGCTTGTTCTGCTTTATATAACTTTGCATGTGAACTGGCCTTGTGGCCATTTGATTGTGCTGAGAGTGTGTGGTGACTTTGTGATCCACCCTGAGCTTGCTTTGCTTTTCTTGACTGGTCTTGCGACCTCTTGTTCTCGCCCACTTTACCTATGGGGGTGTGTCGAACTATATATGCTGCATGTTGTGTAGGCTGTAGTGGGGTAGCCCATATGAGGTACAACCCAATTAAGGTTTACTACTTGTACTCCTGCATGCTGCTAGTTCACACATTCCTTGTTCTCCTGACATGAAGCTCCCCTTTTTTTGTGGGTTTTTGACTCCCCAACAATATCGCAAAACCGCCGTTCACCCAGCGTCCGCTTTTGTCGGATGAGGTATCGTCGTTGTTGCCCGTACGAACCCACAACGGAGGGGCAAAAACTATCGGAGTCGAGGTAGCCTTAGTTAAAAGGAACTATCGCCCAACCGTTTTGCAGCCCGCCGTGCCTATCACGACACGAAAACTCCACAGCTTCCGGGTCTCAGCTTTGTCGCTGCGCCATCAAGTCGTGTAGACGCCCGAGTCGGGAGAAACCTGTAAATTGCACCAACGCTTCTTCGCAGCTCCGTTCACCCAGCCCACTTTTGTCGGAGTAAAACAGTGCTGCGGGCTCCCCTTTTTTCCGTCTTTTCTGTACAGATGTCGAACGGGCACCAATCCAGGTGCCTTTAACCAGCACAAGGTAGGCGCGTATTCACCCCCATTATTCGGGACCGGTAATCGGTGGGGCTGGTGAGGTTCGGGCGATGTAGGGCCACAGATTGGTTCCATCGGCTTTTAATATACTCCCCACAACGTTCTTCAACCCCCGCTTAGCCGTTGGGCAGTTTCTTCTCGAGTGTCCCGGCGGCGTGTACCGACTCCTCCATAAATGCCAGGTAGTACCTTGAACGTCGTTTGATCGTGGGTCACTTGCTGCTATCCCCGTAAACAAGTTCCCTGGTGAGGAGAAACAGTTCTCGAAATCGTCGGCCAGCTTGCAACAACACCAAGCACGCGGCGTCGATCTAGTTCTTTCCGAGGTGTACCTGTCTCAGTTTCCCTTGTCGCCCGTGCCCCACATCTCTTTAAGTGCGATTTAGCCACCGCGTTCTCCATTGTAGCCCGTAAGTGTCAGCAGGTATGAAGTCCCGTCTGTCCATGGACACTTCTGCTGAAATTGCTGATT